ATTTTTTTGCAGACAGTCAACATAATTTAGCACAAATCTTTACAAAATCAACTAAACATCCATCTATCTATCTATCTATCTATCTATCTATCTATCTATCTATCTATCTATCTATCTATCTATCTATCTATCTATCTGAGCAATATCACACAAGTAGCAGTGCGATATGGCTGTATATCGGCACTGGTGGGAGGTGTGCGTTGTGCCCCCACCTGCTACTCGTGTGATATATATATATATATATACATACATAAATACATACATACATACATACATACATACATACATACATACATACGCACGCACGCACGCACGCACGCACACATACATACATAAAGTGCATCTGCAGTATTATAGCGCTTATAGCTAAATGTCCTTATTACAAAATTGATTAAATTAATTTATTTCCTCAAACTTCTACACACAATACCCCATAATGACAATGTGAAAAAAAAGATTTTTTGAAATTGTTGCAAATTTATAAAAATTAAAAAAAAACTGAAAAATCACTTGTACATAAGTATTTACAGCCTTTGCCGTGAAGCTCTTGAGCTCAGCTACATTCTGTGTCCACTGATCATTCTTGAGATGTTTCTGCAGCTTAATTGGAGTTCACTAGTGGTGAATTCAGTTGATTAAACTTGATTTGAAAAGGCATACGCCTGTCTATATAAGGTCCCAGGGTTGACAGTGCATGTCAAAGCACAAACCAAGCATGAAGACAAAGGAATTGTCTCGAGGCACAAGGCTTACAGTAAGTTACAGAAAAAATATTGCTGCTCTGAAAGTTCCAATGAGCAAATGGTCACTCTGTCTGAGCCTCAGCGTTCTTCTGTGGGGAGAGGAAAACCATCTGTGCAGCAATCCACCAATCAGGCTTGTATGGTAGAGTGGCCAGATGGAAATCACTCTTTACTACAGAATTTGTCAAAAGGCATCTGAAGGACTCTCAGACCATAAGAACCAAATTTCTCTTGTCTGATAAGACTTAGATTGAACTCTTTGGAGTGAATGCCAGGTGTTATGTTTGGAGAAAACTAGGCACCGCTCATTACCAGGCTAATAACATCCCTTGAGTGAAGCATGGTGGTGGCAGCATCATGCTGTGGGCATGTTTTTAAGCAGCAGGAACTAAAAGACTAGTCAGGAGGGATATATGAATGCAGAAATATACAAAGACATTCTGAATCAAAACCTGTATTGGAGTGCTCTTAACCTCAGACTGGGGCACTACAATGACGCAAAGCACATCGCCAAAATATCAATGAAGTGGCTTCACAACAACTCGGTAAATGTCCTTGAGTGGCCCCGCCAGAGCCCAGACCTAAATCCTATTGAACATCTCTGGAGAGATCAGAAAATGGCTGTAGACCCTCGCTTTCCATCCAACCTGATAGAGCTTATGAGGTACTGTAAAGTGAAATGGGCAAAGACAGATGTGCAGGTGTGGCAAGATTGTGGCATCATTAAAAAGACTTGAGGCTGTAATTGCTGCCAAAATTGCATCAATATAATATTGAGCAAAAGCCGTGAATACTTATGTGCATTTCACAACAATAAAAAATATATGTTTTCAAATTGCCATTATGGGGTGTTGTGTGTAGAATTTTAAGCAAATAAATTTGATCAATTTCAGAATAAGGCTGTAGCATAAAAAATGTGGACAATGTGAAGCGCTATGAATACTTTCCAGATGCACTGTGTGTGTATTAAAATGGGACATTCTACCAGAAACAAACATTTTCACTTATAAAAAATGTGACAGAGCCTAACTCAAGCTTGCCGTCCTAAAAAAATCATACAAAACAAGCATAAAATCATACAATTCAATGATAGAACCAAAGAGCATAGAATCACCTGATTCTAAGCTCTTTGACAAAACGCATACTTTATCACTGTCATAGTTCTTTACATCTATAGATCACTCTCAGCTTCATCGCCATAAAATTACGCCACTTCCGAGTTAAAGGTGTATTGCACACATTTTATGTTAAATTTAATGCAAATGTGACAGGACTGACAAAAACTTTATTTGTATTATATATTTGTAGTATTTGTTTGTAGAGTTTATTTATAATTTCATGTTTTTAATCAATTACTTTGAATGATTACAACTTAAACTAGCTATTTCTGAAGTATTTTTTCCTAAATAACAGTTTTTAAGCATAACAATGCTAATAAAGCTGTAAGTTCAATTGGAGTTTGCATGTTCTCCTCATGTTCGCGTGGGTTTCCTCCGGGGGCTCTGGTTTCCCCCCAAGTCCAAAAAATATGTGGTATAGGTGAATTGGGTAGGCTAAACTGTCCTTATTGTATGAGTGTGTATGTTTGCCAGGGTTGCAGCTGGAAGGGCATCCGCTGCGTAAAACATATGCTGGATAAATTGGCGGTTCATTCCACTGTGGCGACCCCAGATTAATAAAGGGACTAAGCTGAAAAGAAAATGAATGAATATATATATATACTTTATACATATATATATATATATATATATATATATATATATATATATATATATATATATATATATATATATATTTTTTTTTTTTTTTTTACATACAGTTGAAGTCAAAATTATTAGTCCCCTATAAAATATTTCATTATTTTTCAAATAACTCCCAAGTGCTGTTTAATGAATTAAAGATTTTTTTTAAACACATCATTTTTAAACATAACAGTTTATTCAGGAAGCTTCGAGTGTTTGTAATACAAACAGAAAGACAATTATAATCAAAAATAAAAAAAGCTTAGAGGTCAAAATTATTAGCCCTCTGATGTTAATAGTCAATAGTGTAACCCTTTTGCTTGATAACAGCCATCAGTCGTTTATTGTAGCTCTCAACAAGTTTCTAGCATGTCCAGGGGCGGACTGGGACAAAAATTCAGCCCTGGCACTGTTGCCACATCAGCCCACATTACCACACCGACACAGCCCCACCCACGTACACGCACATTCACTATTTATTTTGGTGTAAAGATGATGAAATAATATGACATTTTTGCCAGATTTTGACTATGTCCGGGTAACCTTGGATTGGGTCGGCCCATCTTGAAACCAGGCGGCAGTTGCCGATTGGGCCAAATGCTTAACATTTATTATTATTATTATTTTTATTATCATCATCATAATATCACATCTAGCAAGAGATAAAAGCTGTCTGCACTTACAATACATAAAAAAAAAAACTGACTGGCCCACATTTAAAAATTGGTCCAGCCCTTCTGGCATTTGCCAGAATTGCCAGATGGCCTGTCCGCCCCTGAGCATGTCTCCTGAGGAGTGTTAGCCCATTCTTCCTTAGCAAATCTCTCAAGCTCTTCCATATTTGTTGGTCTTCTGGCATGAACTCTAGACTTCAGTGTCCCCCACAGATTTTTGATTGGATTTAAGTCTGGGCTTTGTGCAGGCCAGTCAAGTACTTTCACTTTGTTCTGTTGGAGGTAGTTCTTTACCAGAAGTGAGGTATGCTTTGGGTCATTATCATGCTGGAATACAAAACGTCGACCCAAACCAAGTTTTGTTGCAGACTGTTTGAGGTTATTTTTCAAAATCTTCTGGTAGTCTTTCTTTTTCATGTTTCCTTCAACCCTGATAAGATTCCCAGTTCCAAATGCACTGAAACATCCCCATAGCATTATACTCCCACCACCATGTTTCACTGTGGGAACGGTGTTCTTTTTATTAAATGCCTCTCCCTTCTTCCTCCAAACATAGGCAACATCTCTATGGCCAAAGAGCTCTAGTTTTGTCTCATCTGACCAAAGGATACATTTCCAGTATTCTTTATTTTTCTCTAGATTGTCCCTGGCAAACTTCAGTCTAGCTTGGTGGTGTCTCTTTTTTAAAAGTGGAGTCTTTTTTTGGTCGACAACCTTTCAGTTCACTCCTGTGCAGGGCTCTAGTGACCGTCTTTGCTGAGACATTAATTCCAGACTTGGCTAAGTCATACACTAGTGTCTTGGCAGTTGTTCTTGGGTCTTTAGAAACCTCTCTTACTACTTTTCTTTCCAGAGTTTTGGAAATCTTTCGCTTTCTACCTCTGCCAGTCTTGTTCTCCACAGTGTGGATCTCATTAAACTTCTTGATAATACTTCTCACGGCACTTCTTAACACTTGAAAACGCTTTGATAAACATGTATATCCTTCTCCTTTTTTGTGAGCCTCAACAATTCTTTTTCTCAAGTCTAAACTTATTTCTTTTGTCTATGTCATGATGACAGACTGCATTATCGTATTATTTGTTTTTCAAGACACCAGTTTTAAGCTTTAAGTGCAATTTAAAGGCTTAATTAGGTTAATTACCTTAACTAAGCAAGTTAGGGTAATTAGGCAAGTAGTTGGACAACAGTAGTTTTTTCCTGGAGCCAATCAAACAAATAATTACTTAAGAGGGCTAATAATATTGACCTTAGCAGTTTTTGGAAGTTGAAGTCAGTTGAAGTCATGATTATTAGCCCCCCTGATTTTTCCCCCAATTTCTGTTTAACAGAGAAGATTTTTTTCTAAACATACTGTAATAGTTTTTAAAACTCTTTTCTAATAACTTCTAATAATATATTTTATCTTTGCCATGATGACAGCTAATAATAATTGACTAGATATTTTTCAAGACACTTCTATACAGCTTAATGTGACATTTAAAGGCTTAACTAGGTCAATTAGGATAACTAGGCAGGTTAGGGTAATTAGGCAAGTCATTGTATAACAGTGGTTTGTTCTGTAGACTATCGAGGAAAAATAAGCCTTAAAGGGGCTAATAATTTTGTCCTTAAAATTGTGTTTAAAAAAATTTATAACTGCTTTTATTCTAGCCGAAATAAAACAAATAGGACTTTTACAGAAGAAAATATAATTTCAGACATACTGTGAAAATTTCCTTACTCTTTTAAACATCATTAGGAAAATATTTTAAAAAGTAGAAAAAAATCAAAGGGGGCTAATAATTCTGACTTCAACTGTATATGAAACTGAAATAATATATATGACATAACAAAACATGCCATTTTCAGATGTGTTTATTCATTTTTCGACAATATAATACCCAACTTCACAATAGTTAAGAAACTGATATTTGCTGTAATAACACTACATTTTTGCTTGAAATTTGTAAGCAATGTTATCAGATTTGAATCATTATAGAATATCACTAAGATTAAATTTTTTAAACTAACACATAGTAAATCCAGCACAATAATAATAGACTGTCATTAAATAAATGTTTTCAGATAAGGTCACATTTCTTCTGCTTGTCCAAAGCTGTATGTCACATCCCATCTGTATCACTCCCGGTAGTGTTGTCTAGGAGGCCTTGCATATTGTCTTTGTCTGTGCATCTTTTAGTTCTTAAAGCACGTTTCCTGTCCAAGACCACATTAGGAGAATAGCTTAAGAACAAATCATTCATTTGTATTAAGATCAGAAACATAAGCATCTCAGTAGCTCTGTTTGCTTATAAAGTCAATTTTAAAATTATATGTGGTTATGAAAGCTTAACAAAACCAACCTCCTGTAATGGAAGTTGCACTTTCTATTATTTTTGCAGTTATCTGAGATGTCCTCCCCAGAAACCCTCCTCTCAGAAAACAGGCATGACTGCAAGCAAAAATACATCAAAATCAAGCTGCTGTCATTGTGCGCAAACATATACACAACAGAGAAACGTACATTGAACTCGCCGGATGTCTGGCTCTGTGACTCTTCACTCATATCTGTGTAAGAAAAAGGCAACAATGCTTAAAAAATAATTTTTGAGTATAAGATCTGATCCGTTTGAGCTTAAGACTGTTACCCTTTTCACCCCTTTCCCTGGACTCCTCCTCGCTACTTTTCAGCTGTGGATAAAATGTAAGTAACCCTGTTGATGACTAAAAAGAATACATTGTAGAGGACAATTTTAAGATAAGAGAAAACGCACAGAAATATCTGTGGGGGATTTTGAAAAAGTGCATTGTAAAAAAAAATATAACAGAAATATATATATATCTGTAAATGAGCAGTTTTCTGTATTTTGTGATTCATATTTTAATTTTTCCCTGTTTGTTTATGCTTTTGAATTGCATTAAGAGATCTTTTATCCAACTTTTAATCTTTTAAAGTTTGAAAAAGTGAATTTTATTAACATTTTTATTAGTTTAAAGTAATATATTGTCTGGGCTGGTGTTGTATATTACAGTACTAAAACTCTGTGATTAACTGTCAGTACATTACCTTATTTTACAGACTAGATGTTATTTCTTATATGCTATAGCATTTCAAAACACTAAAATGTGAATAAAAGACACTTTGTTAAACTATAAAGTTTAATTATGAACATCAAGAGTTGACAGAGCAGAGATCAAGGTCGCATAATGCAATTCACAACCGTAAATCAACAGAAAACACATGTGAATTACAGAAAACTGTTTTTTAACAGATATTTTCTACATATTTTTTGTATTAAAATCTTTATTTATTACAAAGATTGTTGAATTACCTCAAATGAACTCAGCAAGGAACTCTCTCCTGAGTTCTGAGGAGTAAACAAAATTATAATCAACATGCTTTTTATTTTAAACTAATACCCAGTGGCCATGAGTAACTTAGAGTAACACATCTAATGATTCATCTCTTCCATTCAAACATACCGTATAGATCATTTAAATGTGGTCATGTCATTGGCCTATGAACATTTCCTGCTTGTTATCAAACTATTTCATAACTGTAACAAGAGGCAATTCAATCATAACATAATATTAAATTAGCTATGATAACATTATTTATCAATATGTGGCTCTTTTTGGATTCTCGGAAGCTATAGAAATTAAAAACGTAAAACAGGAAAAACATTGGGACCACTGTTTTTGTTTACATCCCTCAAAATGGTCTATAATGCCATTTCTATGTAACAGAGTGGTGGTTTTCAAGCGAACATACCACTCGAATGGGGCTCTTCTGTTTGCGAAGTGTAGCTTGAAGAGCAAGAACTTCTCCTTGAGTTCGAAACAACTGGACTTGAAGTTCATCATAGCGTTCTCCCATTTCCCGGATCTGCTTGCGGTACTGGTCTTTGTCTTGGAGATTTTTTGAGTTTTCCAGATGGTACTCCTCTCTCGTACAAATAGCCTATGAAAAGGCCATATTTGGAGTCATAAATGCAACAGAACATATACATTTCACATAACTGGTCTTTTTTCATCTTTTAAGAACAACAAATAATAACTTGACTTCTAGTTGATCATTTGGTATCAGAAATGGCTTACATGAAAGGCAAATGCCTCTAGATTATGCTCATTTTACCAAAATATTACACGATCATGCCTTGATTTTTAAAGGATTTTATTAGGACAGTAATGTCTGACTTTGCTTAGACAAAAGTCATGGTGCAGTGGAAAAAGAATGAATATTGTATGTGACTCCCATGAGCTTGGAGGACTGCATCCATACATCTCTGCAATGGCAGACATTTGTGCTGCCCATTACATTACAAACCACTGGAGAGGGCAAATTTGTCAGCAGGATAGCGCTCCTTCTCATACTTAGCCTCCACATCAACGTTCCTGAAAGCTAAGAAGGTCAAGGTGCTCCAGGATTGGCCAGCCCAGTCATCAGACATGACCATTATTGAGCATGTCTGGGGTAAGATGATGGAGGAGGCATTGAAGATGAATAAAAGAATCTTGAAGAAAAGAATCTTTGCCATTCCAGATGACTTTATAATTAAAGTGATTTGAGTCATTGCAGAGATGTATGGATGCAGTCCTCCAAGCTCATGGGAGTCATACACAAAGATCATTCCTTTTCCACTGCACCATGACTTTATATTCTATACTGGACATTATTTTTGTTAAGTGATAATACAAATCTGATTTGCTTTTGTCTAAGCAAAGTCAGACCTTACTGTCCTAATTAAATAATTAAAAATCAAGACATGATCAAATATTATTTTAGTAAAATTAGCATAATCTAGAGGCCTTTGGCTTTCGTAAAAGCCACTTCTTGTACCAAATGATCAATTAGAAGTCAAGTTTTTATTTTTTGTTCCTAAAACTTGCATAGGTGACGAGACTTTTGTCAGGTAGTGTAAAAAAAATCTATCTTAAACTATACAGAACATGACTGTATTGTATTGCTCTGATGAGGGTTTATACCTTGTCTCTTTCTTTGATCACCTCTTCCAGCTGTTTCAGAATGTCTTCCATTCGGTCTCCATACATCTTAGAGTCCTTCTTTAGCATTAAGCACTTAAGTTCTAACTCATCCTTCTCTTCTCGATACTTCATTTTGAAAACAAAATGCAATCTTAAATCACAAAAATTAAAGTACAGTAAGATTCTATTAGAATCAAATATGAAACAAAGGCTACCTTATCACGCAGCTTTTCTGCATCATGAAGATCTCTTCTTAGATTGTAGAGATCATTCACCAGCTCTTGGTATTGTGCCTGACTTTGTTGCTTGAAATCCTCTAATGTCTGTGAATCAGGCTTTTCCTGCTCAGGAGTTTGAACCTGTGTGAATGAATTGCAGTAGTCACTGTTATTCATATTCTGAGGAAGTCTGTAATAAGTGAGCCTGATTTACCTTGGAAGCACTTTCGAGCTCTTGTATGCGAGCTTTAAGGAGGTCGTTTTGTCTCTGCATCTTCCAGATGATCTCTGGACTCGGCCTTTGCTCCATGGCATTTTTCAAGTTTACAGTCTTTTTCCGTTGAATCTTTGAATCACTTTCGGCATTCATTAAGCTGTGTTTTAATTTCTCGATCTTTTAGCAAGGCCCGAGGAGAGGAAAACATGCAAAGATAAAATGAAGATAATAAACAATAATAAATACATAAAACACAAAGAATCGAATGTAATGTTTAAGCAAATTATCATAACAGCAAACTTAAAATTCATATACATTAACAGAGTACTAGAAAGATTTGTGTGTAGCCTAATGCATGCTAATTTTAATAAGCTAGCATTTTAGCTTTAGGTTGTATTTTATAACATATACATTTGTAGTAATATAACTACAAAATCAACAGTGTTTTCATACTATGTTATTATTACTGTAATTGTAAGATAAAAACATGATGTTTTACTTATAGCTGTTCATGTCCTCAGATTCAATTTATTAAATTAAATTCAATTAATTCTACAGCAGCCACATGGTCATTTTTTACTTATTTGAATCTCGTTATAATGGTAAATAATTATGTGAATGCACCTAAAATTCAGTTTTCAAACTGTGGTTATAAGTTTAACATGGATGTGAGTGCTTTTTGTTAGCCATAATCGCCTAATTATAGCAATTCTGATTGTGTGAATGCATCTAAAAATGTAATGTTTGTAATAAAGAATAATTATAATACAGTATGAACACACTCGAATATCCTAGTTCACAACTTGTTATTACAAAGCCTGTGAATACATGAATGTTTTTTACTAGTGTTAATCTTGTTGCTACAGTGATTCTGATATGGTGTGAACATATCAGTTTAAATGGTATTTTACCGATTTTTAGAGCAAGTTCTGCACAAAAGTGAATGTAAAATTTTGTAACTGTGATCATTTTGATTTGGTATGAATGCACTAGTTAAACATACTCATGCAGCATAGTTTAGGCTACTTCTTGTGATTATATTTAGGCTTCAAACTAACTAAAAGTTACTGTATGTGCTTGTGCATATACAGTTGAAGTCAGAATTTTTAACCCTCCTTTGACTTTTCTTTTCTTTTAAAAATATTTTCCAAATAATGTTTAACAGAGCAAAGAAATTTTTACAGTATGTCTGATATTTTTTTTCTTCTGAAAAAAAGTCTTATTTGTTTTATTTTGGCTAGAATAAAAGCAAATTTTAATTTATTATGAACCATTTTAGGGTCAAAATTATTACCTTTTTTTTTCAATAGTCTACAGAACAAACCATTGTTATACAATAACCTGCCTAATTACCCTAACTTGCAGAGTTAACCTAATTAAGTCTTTAAATGTCACTTTAAGCTGTATAGAAATGTCTTGAAAAATGTTTAGTAAAATATTATTTATTGTTATCATGGCAAAGATAAAATAAATTATTATTAGAAATGAGTTAATAAAACTATTATGTTTAGAAATGTGTTGAAACAGAAATGTGTCTTTCCATTAAACAGAAACTAGGGGAAAAAAAATAAATAGGGGGTCTAATAATTCCGAGGGGCTAATAATTCTGACTTCAACTGTATATATACAAACAATTCAAGTTAGAATTATTAGCCCCCCTTTGAATAGCTTTTTCCTTTATATATATATATATATATATATATATATATATATATATATATATATATATATATATATATATATATATATATATATATATATATATATATATATATATATATATATCCAAACAGTGCAAGGACATTTTACAGTATGTCTGACAATGTTTTTTCTTCTGGAAAAAAGTCTTATTTGTTTTATTTCGGCTAGAATCAAAGCAGCTTATATATATTAAATGATGTGCTTGTTTGTGAAGGACATGTAACTTCTTTTGGTCACAGAGCTAATTTTTAAAATAACCCCACAGTTTTTGAGTTTGCTAAATTATAAGCTTCACTACAAAGAATATCATTATTACAACACTTTATTACAGTTAAAATCATAAATTATATGTAAATTATAAAATGTACATTTGCATATATTTGTTTAAAGGTTGTGATGAACTATGTTCAAATTGATTGATCACCTCTAGCTGGAGGTCTCTGTTACACATGAGCGCGCAGTTCTTCTCTTCGCTCAGTCGAGTCAGATCGTGCATCAGTCGGTAATTCTCATCTTTCAGTGTCCGAGCCTCCTCACACATGCGCTCGCGCTCTTCTCGGATGCGGTGCACACGCTCCTGCTGTTTGTGCAGCTCATTTTCACACAGCTGCAGCTGGCGGATGGTTTCGTGCTGCTCCTTTACCTGTGCAGATACTTCCAGTCGGGCCCTCCGCTCATCCTGCGCCAGCTTCTGCAGACGAGACACCTCGCTCATGAGGAACTGAGTGAGGCCGCATTCACCAGCAGTGTCTGAGTGGACAGAAAGAGAGATGTTTATGAAGCATGAGACTTCAGACACATGACAAACTGTATACAGGTTTGACAAACCCCCTGTAGAAACACTCTTCTCTCTATAAAAACACTGTCTCTCACTCTAGCACTAAATTCCTTGAATGTCCCATGAAATTAAAATAATGTTTTTTTTTTTTGGTTGTTTGTATTAGTTTTAATAGTTTTTAGGATATCCATGAGCTTGTGTGCTCCAAAAACAGTGACAACATCCGAATTTAAAAGATGTTAAGTGCTCAGCATAATTGAGTCCACACCATTTTTAAATATAAATATATGTATATATATATATATATATATATATATATATATACATACATACATGTATTATTTGAATAAATATATCAGTTAATTAAATCTGTTTTGTTTAAATGCACAAAAATACTTTGCCTATATTTACTGAGAAATGGATACATACGTACATACATATATATATATATATATATATATATATATATATATATATATATATATATATATATATATATATATATATATATATATATATATATATATATATATATATATTATTTGAATAAATATATCAGTTTATTAAATCTGTTTTGTTTGAATGCACAAAAATACTTTGCCTATATTTACTGAGTAATGGATACATACGTACATATATATATATATATATATATATATATATATATATATATATATATATATATATATATATATATATATATATATATATATATATATATATATATATAGTTGGATTTAAGCACTATTTTTAGCTGGATTAGTTGCAAATTTATTAAAAATAAAAAAACTGAAAAAAAATCACATGTACATAAGTATTCACAGCCTTTGCTCAATACTTTGTGATGCACCTTTGCCAGCAATTTCAGCCTCAAGTCTTTATAATTATGATGCCACAAGCTTGGCACACCTGTCTTTGGGAATTATTGCCCATTCCTCTTTGTAGTTCCTCTCAAGCTCTATCAGGTTGGATGGGAAGCGACGGTGTACAGCCATTTTCAGATCTCTCCAAAGATGTTCAATAAGATTTAGATCTGGGCTCTGGCTAGGCCACTCAGGGACATTCACCGAGTTGTTGTTAAGCCACCACATTGATATTTTGGCAATGTGCTTTGGGTCATTGTCCTGCTGGAAGATGAAACGTCACCCCAGTCTGAGGTCAAGATCACTCTGAAGCAGGTTTTTATTCATCTTTCCCTCTATCCTGACTAGTCTTCCAGTTCCTGCTGCTAAAAAAATAGCATGATGCTGCCAACAACAAGCTTCACTGTAGGGATGGTATTAGCCTTCGTTTTTACCAAACGCAACGCCTGGCATTCATTCCAAAGAGTTCCATTTTAGTCGCATCAGACCAGAGAATTTAGTTTCTTATGGTCTGAAAGTCCTTCAGATGCCTTTTGAGCAAATTCCTTAGTAAAGAGTGGCTTCTGTCTGCCCATTTTACCACACAGGCCTGATTGGTGGATTTCTGCACAGATGGTTGTCCCTCTGTAAGTTTCTCCACTCTTTACAGAAGAATGTGGGAGCTCAGAAAGAGTGACTATCGGGTTATTGATCACCTCCCTAACTAAGGCCCTTCTCCCCTGATCATGCAGCTTAGATGGCCGGCCAGCTCTAGGAAGAATGCTGATGGTTCCAAACATTTTCCACTTATAAACAATGGAGGCCACTGTGCTCTTTGGCACTTTCAGAGCAGCAGAGATTTTTCTGTAACCTTTCCCAGCCTTGTGCCTCTAGACAATCCTGTCTTGGAGGTCTACAGACAGTTTCTTTGTCTTCATGCTTGGTTTGTGCTTTGAGATGCACTGTCAACCTTGGGACCTTATATAGACAGGTGTATACCTTTTCAAATTATGTCCAATCAACAGAATTCACCACAGGTTAACTCCAATTAAGCTGCTGAAACATCTCAAGAATGATCAGTGGAAACAGAATGTACCTGAGCTCAGTCTAGAGTTTCACGGCAAAGGCTGTAAATACTGATGTACATGTGATTTATCAGGTTTTTTATTTTTAATAATTTTGCAACAATTTCAAAAAATCTTTTTTCACATTGTCATTATGGGGTATTGTGTGTAAAATTTTGAGTAAATAAATGAATATAATCCATTTTGGAATAAGGCTGTAACATAAAAAATGTAGAAAAAGTGAAGCGCTATATACTTTCAGGATACATTGTAAAAATTAGCATTGGCCAAAACTGATTAGCTGAAGTCATGACAGCCAACAGAGGTTTCCGCTCCATCTTAAAGCGTTTTCGATGGGCTATTTTCACTGCATAGCAGTCAAAATAGGACAAATAAGCTCATGTTTGGGACAAATTCTGAACCTTTGTCAGGGAGATGAGGGGCTTTTAAACTACCTGAACCTCCCCTGCACATGTCTTTGGACTGTTGAGAAAACTGGAGCACATGTCCGCTTTTTAAAATGAGTTTCTTTGTAAAACTGGATATAGGTATGGGTTTGAGTACAATGTTAATTTGTGGTGGATTTTCATTATTATAATCAGATGCATAGTTCTCCATATGAACTGGTACAAACCAGTACACTTTCTTTTTTTAACAAAATACATAAAAAAACACTATTCTAAATTAAAAACTTACCAATAAGTACAGAGAACACCCTTGCAGGCTCTTTACCGGTGATCTTGCGGTACACATCTGGGTAGTCTAACTCCAAGCTTTCTAGAAAAGCCTCATATCCTTTGAGCCCAGTTCTTTGTAATATGTCCAACAGCACACCTTAAACACAAACAGAAAATTAAATCCTGAACTCTGTATATCTACCAGGTGCCATACAAAATATGCTTAGAAATAAAACAAAGAGCTTCAGGTTATACAATAATCACCAACTTTCAACAACTGGATGCATGTGTTTGGCATCTTAATATTTGGAACTTCAGATTGTCTTCAGAACTCTTACCAACTTTGCGGCGTCTGATAACCAAACTTGGATCATTGTAGATCTGCTCCTCATCCTCGCTGCTCAGCACCTTGCACTGTCTCAGATAAGGTGTTATCCTTGAGGGCTCAATGGTCTTGATGAGAAGCATTCGGTAGTCCTCCAGCCGAGCCCAACACTCATCATCTTCCTCCACCTCAAAAACCCCTGGACCATCAGACATGGCTGTTGGCTTGTTAAGAGCTGTTTGATAGCAAGTTTTTAAGGTTAAGTGGACATTACACATTCAGCTTATCTGTAAAAAGGAAATGTTCACAAAACGCTGCGTGACACAAGTTCCCTTTTTCCACCAGAGCAGTTGTTTAAATTTCCCTGTATTTCACAATATAATACATTTACTGTGGTGTATGGGTGATGCAATATTGGTCTTTTGGAGGGAACTTAGTGGCTTTTGTGTAACATCCAGCTCCATCTATAATACATTCGCTTTTATTAGGCTGCTGTTATGATAGTGCTTGTTATCTCATGTGATTAACAAATTTTTCCAAGTTGTTATCTTTGTGTAAAAAGTTTTGAAGGGAAAACCTAAAAATCCCTAAAACTCATCAAATGACATCGAATTTAGCAAAATATTTATATTTAGCTTTCAAAAAAAGTCTTAAATACTATTTACTAACTCTTTTATGAGCTGCAGAGTTTGCCACAGCAATATCACCCGGCAGCCCAAGACAGGTTACTCACTGAAGCTAAGCAGGGCTGAGCCTTAGTGCCTGGATGGGAGATCACATGAGAAAACTAGGCTGCTGTTGGAAGTGGTGTTAGTGAGGCCGGCAAGGGGCACTCAACCTGTGTTCTATGTGAGTTCTAATGCCCCAGTACAGTGAAGGGGACACTATAGGGGAATTACCAACCTACGTATCACGTGACGTTACACAGGTTCAAACATGCAAACTGGTTGCAAAAAAAGACCGGTTGCAAATGCAAACATGTTGTGTTGTGGCGGTAAAATGCCAAAATCTAAAGTTCAAAAATAGAACTTAAATTTTACCGTACACCACACTGCTTTTAATGCCAACCACAGTCTTTGGCCAATAGCCATCAGAAGAGAGAGCTAATTAGAGTGAGGACCAAATTAAAATTGCTCGACCCTGCAGTTCTCAATTTATATCAGGTAAGTTCGCACTATACTGAATCATACACATTCCTCGTTTTTGATTACAGCAATGACTTGAGCAAAAACAGTTAAATATGGTCAATTAAACTGCGGACACTGAATGCTTAGAATGAAATGTAAAAATGTACATTTACATACCCTGCCATACAGGTGAAGTTCACAGTCAGAAAGCAGTTTTTTGGCTTGTTGATGATTACCCAGGCCTTGTACAGTTCCGTCTTCTCTCCTTGTCTTTGGCTAGGCAGAACCTCGGTTTTTAGCACTACATAGAATTAAATCTGGTAATCGTAAAACATTATTTCTTGCACATGACCACACAGAACAAAATTGTTGGCATACAAAGACTTGTAGGCCTTTAACGTCTCTCTTGTTTAAACACTTGGAGTTTCAATGAGATAGTTGTAAATTTCGAGCTGGACGCTTGGCCATTTTGTCTTATCCAATATCCATTGGAAGGGCGCTATAACAAATGGACCTGTCAGACGAACGTCATTTACTTTAATTTTAATTTTGCAGAATAACTGTGCTTATCACTGGGTGACAAGCTGTCATAATACGCTGAAAGCATTATGTAAATAATATATATATATATATATATATATATATATATATATATATATATATATATATATATATAATATGTAATCAATATAACTTATCTCTAAAACAACAACAAACGCTGTACCGTATCGGATGTCATTACCTTACTGAAAATGCCAGCGATTCCATTTTTTTTCCTGCAACCTCGCTGCGCAAGCATCCTAAATGTTTATAAACCGGTAGTTAGTCTATACTGTCAGCAGCTATGTTTCCATCCACCCATTTTTATGCGCAATTTGGATGTGCAGAAAAATCGGTTGATGGAAACTGCAAGATGTGCATTTTGAAAATGCGCATAAAACATATGCGCATAACGGAGTGGGATAGACTTTTCATTCGTTAAGAAAAGATGCACATGAACTATGATGAAAACACTTTTATCACACAAAGTCCAGTGTGCGCATTAAAAAAGGTCATGTGACTTTGTTATGAGATATCATGTGTTGATAAAAATGTGCATGAATAGATAAACCAGCAGGCTGAGCACACTGTAAAACATCTGAAATGTTGGTTTGGTCTTTCTAAAACGCCTTAACCATCTTAGTATTTGTGTTATTATATTACTAATTACCTCCAAAATCAGTAGCGTCCGTGCTCTGCATTTCATGCCCTCAAATGCCACCGCATGTTCACTGCGTGTCAGGATTGTCCTCTGAGGGGCAAGTAGTTTATTAAATGAAGAAAAGATTGAAGCAGCTTCGCTTTTCGCAGCAAACTCTGTTTTTGCTGTTGATATTTGGTGCCAGATAATCAGGAAGTGATGATTTTGTTAGCTTTAAATCATTGGATGGAAATGCTGCTTCGCATGTCTTTAATACAATAATCTAGTTTTGCGCATAAAGTTCATTTGCATATTTGGATGGAAACATAGCTAGTGAGAGTTATCTTTCAGATCAGACTTTAAACCAAAGTCCTGATTCTCTGTGGTTATTAAAAATCCCATGGCACTTCTCATAAAAAGTAGGGGTGTAACCCTGGTGTCCTGGACAAATTCCCTCAATCGGCCCTTAGCCATCATTGCCTCCCAATCATCCCCATCTAACATATTGGCTCTATCACTGTCTGTCCACTCCACTAACAGCTGGTGGGAGCACTGGCTCTGTTGTCCTGTGGCTGCCGTCACATCATCCAAGTGGATGCTGAACACTGGTGGTGATGTGGAGAGACCCCTCATGATTGGGAAGCGATTTGAGTGTATGGCCATGCAAGATAAATGTGCTAAATAAATACATACATTACAGAGTTTGATCATGCAATGTAATGGCAAAAAAATCCATAGTACAAAAGCATAAAAACAAAGACGGCCAACTTATGACTCTAGAGAACAATTTATTCAAAAACAATCACAATAGTATAAGAATAATTTAACAGAAGTTCAGTGCAAAATTCTTTTTTTTCACTGCAAGAAAATTAGAGGCAAACTGGGTGATTAACAAAACATAAAACAATTAGTTCAAAGAACAAACAATAGCTGGCTGATCCCTTAAACTCCACAGAGTGCAGTTCTGTTTAAAAAACGCTTAAACTATATAGACTTTGAAGCTATTAGTTCTGCATTCTCTGGAAGAAATACTGAACAACAGAAAGTGTAGTATGTAGTATAACCTTATTTAATTAATCTTTTAATTCGCTGATTCCGTTGCCTTTTTGGACCAATTCCTGAGAACTGTTTTGCTGATGCTTCATTTTCATTCATGTTAAGTTCAGTCCTCTGAAAACAATGAAAATATATAAGCACAAATCTAAAAAAAAGCAATATTATGCTTGAATGTGAAGTGCAACTTACTGCAGTTGGCGGCTGACTTCTTTCATTTGTCTGAAGATCCTCTTCATCATCCTCAGTGGATGACTGATGTTCTTCAGAGGGGTTTATGGTGGCCAAATGGTCATCCTCTTCATCGTCCTCACTCAATAACTGACGTTCCTCACAGGGGTTTATGGTGGCCAAAAGGGCTGGTAAGGTAAAGCACGACAAAAAACGAGCCTTACAAAGTAGGTATGCCGGATTTGAGGCAAACCTTTCAGCAACCACTTTGCGAATGGCTTCCACTTCTACTTCTTCATTGCACTCATCCTGATACTGAGCTGGCAGGACTTTCTTAGCAGCTAAAAGCAGTGGTTGTTTGGCTCGGAGCAAGTCAGTCATTGTTTTGATGGTGGCAGCAGATGGTGGAAGGTAAGGTAAGGATGTATCTAGATGAGGAAGCGGGATTCCACCTTTCCCATCCATCCAGTCATCTACTTCAGATGACTTCTCTGGGAAAATCAAGTGAGAATCAAAGTTCACACCAGCAGCAGGAAGATCACGAAGAGAGATCAGTGGTTCACCTTCTGATTGAGCTCTAATCCGAGACATTGAAGTTACTTTCCGAGATGGAGGAGCTACAACAGGTAATGGACCCAGAGGTCTGATAGGTCTGTACTTTGTTTTCTGAGTGCTGACAGTTGGCAGTTGACTGGAGCTCACATTTAAACCGCAAAGCTTTGGTGCTACAACTTTATTATTGGGATTAAATATGACTGGTCCACTGGACAAAGTTGGCGGAGTCGAGGGATTTGGTTGAATGTTGAAAACTGCAGGAGGTATACTGCGACCGGTGGACGGAGATAACTGATGTTGCTTTACAACGCTTTCATCAGAGGAGGAATCTGATGAGGTCTTTGCTGCTTTAGTGCATGTAGCTTTGTGGACCACATTGATGGGTATTTGGGGTACAATCTGAACGCTCTGTTGCACACTTAGATTCTGTGGTAATGGAAAAGTAGTTGAATTCAGAAAAGAAGTAGGGTTTAGGGCATCTCTAGAGACTCTGGGGCTAATGTTTATAGTGGAGGAAACATTAAGGTTATCTCTGGATACATTTGAGACTGAAGAATGTACAAAGGTAGGATTTGTAGAGGAATGAACAACCACAGGGGCAGACTGGTGTAGATTGCCCGAGCTGCATGGTTGAGGACTTTTGATTGTGAGGGACTTGTCTGGCATGTTTATTGTCTGGTTGCTTGAGAAATTAGGAGAAAGACCAGTTACTTGTACCAACCTGGCGGGGCTCAGAATCTTGATTACTGGCGATGTCTGCAATGTAACAGTTGGGAAAACAACATTTTTATTGCCCTGGTTTTGTTTCTGAGGCTCTTTTTTCCTACTTTTTACTTTAGATTGTTCCATTAGGGCCTGAGCTTTCTTGGTAGGCTTACAGATACGTTTTGAAGACTTGACACTGTTTGAGTCCTGCACACTTGGCGATTTGGAGACTACAATAGGTTGTGCTGGTGTTTTCGGTTGCATTACCGGTAGAGGAATGTGTGATACAGCTTTTGATGGTTGCTGTGGTAGTAATAATCCTTTAAACACTAAATGTTGCACTTCCCCCTCCATGTTTGGGTTTGTAATAACAAGATTATTGGGATAAATCAAAGTTGGAGTTGTTATTTGCCTGACTGGCAAAGGTTGAGGAGGCTGTTTAGAAGGTGGTAGAGATGGTTGTTGAGAAGGTGGTAGAGAAGGATTTTGAAAAGGTGGTAGAGAATGTTGTTGAGAAGGTGGTAGAGATTGTTGTTGAGAAGTTGGTAGAGAAGGTGGTTGAGGAGGTGGTAGAGAAGGTGGTTGAGGAGGTGGTAGAGAAGGTTGTTGAGGAGGTTGTTGAGCAGGTGGTTGAGAAGGTGGTAGAGAAGGTGGTTGAGGAGGTGGTTGAGACGGTTGAGAAGGAGGTGGTAGAGTTGGTTGTTGAGAAGGTGGTACAGAAGGTGGTAGAGAAGGTGGTTGAGTAGGTTGTTGAGCAGGTGGTAGAGAAGGTTTTTGAGAAGGTGGTAGTGATGGTTGTTGAGAAGGTTCTGCAGGTTTCTTGTGCTCAGATGCTGCTTTTGACTGCTGAAGCAGAACTGCCACTGTTTTTGGAGAAGCTAAATCACAAAGGGCAAAAATATTGACATGTTAGGACAAAAAGAACTAGTGCTTTACTTTCTACATCTGTATTATTGGCTGTTTTATTTATTTCAAGACGTTAAAAAGAACACTTACTGCTTATTGGAGTAGGTTTAGGATTACCTAAATCACAATAGGACACAAATATTGACATGTTAGGACAAATAAAAAGGGTAACTTTGCACATCTGTATTATTTGCCATTTTATTTATTTCAAGATGTTAAAAAAAACTTACCGTTTATTGCAAGTGGCATCTGAAAATACAAAAAAAGAGAGAAGAATTGACAACAACAGGAGAACACAAATCTTCAAGATGAACAATTTTTTAAATACTGCAGTTTTACACACACACACACACACACACGCACACGCACACTCACACGCACAAGCACACGCACACGCATACACACACACACACACACACATATAATATATCTGAATCTAAAACTGCAACATATTTTTATCTATTCTTGTATTTTTATTATATTTTTAGCAGATGTCCTTCACCAAAAATCCCCTAATCATTCCTAATCATTCTAAAACTGTATTATTTTCAAACAAAGCTATACAAGTCATTTGATTAAATTGTGTTATATATACAGTCAGGGCCTGATTTAAAATAAGGGCTAGGTGGGGCTGAAGCCCTAGGGCCTGTGAAAGGAGGGGGCCCTTGATTGGCTGGTAAATTAATTTGCATGATGATGTGGGAAATGCCTCTTTGCGTTTTGCTTTCGTATGGCAGTAATGTGAAAAATTCCTTTCGACTCGCTGCTGGTCAAGAACAGTGACGCCGCTAAACTATGGCTCGGAGTAGCTGTAGCTCAAAACAGTTTTGAATAGCCCTGTCTAGTCCTCAGTAAGAGTGACCAGATGTCCCATTTTGTACCCAGGAAAGGCTCTTATTTCGCTGGACAGTTTTGTTTCGGCTCTGCCGTGAAAATGATCCAATCAAAAGTAGGCTAACCAAACGCATTGTTGAACAAAAAATACAGCTCAAACAGTAAACGTTAATAACATGCAATAAGAAAAGCTGAGTTTGTTGGAATCATGCAAAATGGACAATTTTGTCTCGGCCACGCGTCCGCGCAATCCTTCCCTTAAATAATATAACCGAGAAAGTGTGCGAACATATCAAATAGCCTACATAGTAGTTATCAAAAGTCTATCATTGGGGACAATCTATTTCAAGAAAATACATGGTTTAAGTTTAACTCAACCTATTAAAAAGCAAACTTTTAAATTAATGCATTTCCCCCTTTTTAAAGCCGACAGTAATAATCCAGAGCAAGAGCTGGCTTTCATCAGACAATATATGTGAGGCACAAAAAAAGCATGCTAACCTTCTGTAATTGATTGACTTACAAGACCAAGTGGAAAATTAGAATCTTGACTTTTAAATAAATTTTAGGGATTTCTCTCAGCTAAAGTTTAAAGTAAAATTTTTAAAGATAGCCCTATTTAAATTATTTATTGTAAAGCACTCGTTCAGAAAGTACTGCAAATGTGTTTTTTGTGCAGCCTGTTTAAAATGTGAAGTTTGTTATGCGATTAACTTTGTATGCTTGTACGCCTACTTTAGTAAAATAGAAAACGTTTATAATAATGAAATATAAATCAAATAGTGAAAAATTAGATAATATTAATTGGCAAATTAATAATAATAATAATAATAATAATAGGGAAAAAAGCTATTTTTGGAGGAAATAAAATAATGTTTAATAAACTATTAAACATTACATGCTTGGTTGACATACCTTAATATCTAGCTTTTTGTGAATTTCAATGACAGTCCTGCAACCATTGACATCAACGTGAAAAGCCTGTATTCAGACAGAAAAGACAACCATCTGAAACTGTCAAAAGGCACAATGAAAGAAACAAAATCAACGCTATCAGGCTTACTTTGATAAAAAATGTAAACACTGATGTCTTCTGGAGCCTGATGCTTGCTGCTTTGATTCCAACAATATCCCCTGCAAAGTGATTATTGATTGATTACACACAACAAAATGAGCATATGCCTTGAATTAATCTGTCATAACTAGGCCTACATGGATGCTGAACAAACATTTTTATTTTATTAAGGTTGCAAATAATTTTTATTCCATATAGTGACATACTGTAGAGGAGGGAAATAAGATATTAAGCAAGATATTCAGCAATTACCTTCACATGAGTTTGATAAAACAGCCTCAAACACTAATAGTTTTCCCTACACTATTGTTTTCATATAATAGGCAAGTTTTACCTTTGATTACAGTACACTACCTTCAAAAGTCTTGTCATGGATCTCAGTTGTAAGAACAACAAATTTTAAGTTGACTTCTAGTTGATAATTTGGAAAAGTGGCTGAAGGTTGATTTTTCTGATGAATCATCTGTTGAGCTGCATCCCATTCATCACAAATACAGCAGAAGACCTATTGGAATGTGCTTGGACCCTAGATTCTAACAGATATCAGTCAAGTTTGGTGAGGGAAAAATAATGGTTTGGGGTTCATTCAGTATGGGAGCATGCGAGAGATCTGCAGAGTGGATGACAACATCTACAGCCTGAGGTATCAAGACATTGTGTTGCCTATTATATTACAAACCACAGGAGAGGGCAAATTCTTCAGCAGGATAGCGCTCCTTCTAATCCAACAGCCTCCACATCAAATTTCCTGAAAGCAAAGAAGGTCAAGGTGCTGCAGGATTGGCCAGCCCAGTCACCAGACATGAACATTATTGAGCATGTCTAGGGTAAGATGGAGGAGGCATTAAAGATGAATCCAAAGAATCTTGAAGAACTCTGTGAGTCCTGCAAGAACGCTTTCTTTGCCATTCCAGATGACTTTAATATTAAGTTGTTTTAGTCATTGCAGAGATGTTTGGATGCAGTCCTCCCAGCTCATGAGAGTCATACACAATATTCATTCTTTTTCACTGCATCATGACTTTATATTCTATACTGTACATTATTTTTGTTAAGTGACAAGACTTTTGTCTCAGCAAAGTCAGACCTTACTGTCCTAATAAAATCATTAAAAGTCAAGGCATGATAATCTTTTGTTTTGGTAAAATAATGGTCATCTAGAGGCCTTCGCCTTTCATATAAGCCACTTCTGATACCAAACGATCAACTAGAAGTCAAGTCATAATTGGTTGTTCTTAAACTTGCATAGGCTGCAAGACATGTGTCAGGTAGTGTATAGTTGTTTTTTTCGTTCTACGTTTGCAGAAACAAAAGTCTGTACCTTCACAAAAGATGGCTTCATTCGCTGGAGTAGATATGATCACATTACCAATCCATGGGATGACAGCTTTTTGGAGGTCAGTATTAAGGCTAAACACATCCCGTAAAGTCCTTTTTTTATTTTTTATTTTCTTCTATAGTAAATAGAAATAGCAAAAGCATAAAAATACACATTTTATGTCATACATTATTGACTATATATGTAATACTCATCTGCGTTGATCATACCTTTTTCTTCACAGCGAATTCTGTTGCTTTCATTTGAATGAATTGTTTAACATCACTCATGCACACTTTGAACATGGCCTTCTCATCGTCAGTCTGCAAAGATGAAATATCATTCAGTTTTTAAACAGAAGAACTTCAGAAGCTAAACATCTAAACATGCAAAGAGCTGTAGTGTTAGGTCATTTTTAAACAAATTATTCACTTCAACAGGAATGAAGAGTAGATTACTTCATCTTTCAAGTCCTCAATCGGGATTTTAGTTATAAAATCATCATGTAAAACAGCATAAACTCAATGTAAAAATGCAGGATTCCACACAACACAAATGAATTAAGTTAATTTAATACATTTTACAAACTTAAGTGGACCGAACATAAAACAATTAAGTTGTCAAAAAATCGCATTAGAAGTACATTTAAATAAGTAATTTAAACAAGCAACAAAAGTCATTTTTTGAGTGTATGCATCTGAGCTGAAAAAAGAACTGATTAGTTAATCTTGAATCCTAAGGTTTTGAATTGTTTATCTTTTTACATGTGACTTGATAGCATAATGCCTCATTCACACTAGCAGCGACTTTGTAGCTGCCGGTCACTCTCGGTGGCGACCTGCTGCAAAACGGTCTGTTTAAGTATATACAGCACGAATACAACCGGCCTCTGTACGAGGTGAGAGAGGATTACGTGAGCTCTACTGGTGCTCCAATTGGCTGTCGCTCAAGAAAGTCGCTCTTCATTTGCATAAAGTTGAAGGATTCTCAACTTTGACGCGTTGCTTAACAGCGCCACCTGGTTGCCAACATCGCTTGAGTGGATGAAGAAACAGAACAAACTAAGACAAACTAAATCCAGAATCTCAAGATGCTTCAGAAACCCTATCTACAAAGTACTGATCAAAGTTTTAGGTACGCGTGCAGAAATGCTGTAACACAAGGATGCTTTCAAAAATGCATAAATTCACTTATATTAGCTAAATCAAATCAACATTTGTATAATCACACTTTGCATTCAAAAGACTTGGGGTGCTTTCACACTAGCACTTTTGGTCCGCACCCGGGTTCATTTGACGTCATAATACGGTACGTTTAGCTAGTGTGAATGTGTGTTCTGAACTCGGGTGCGCACCCGTGAACCGTACCCGAGTCTGCCTGAAAGAGATGATTCATGAATGGGAGTGAAGCGACGCAACTGACGCAGTTAGGTCACGTGACCATGACAAAATGGTGGATGTACTACGTTCGAATTCCATTCATGCTGCTCACATTCAAATTGTATAGAAAGTACTTTTCTAATGGCCGAGTAGTAAGTTTAAATTCAAATGCAGTACCTACTGAGTAGTAGGCAGTTTCGGACGCAGCCCATGTCTACATGCCTAAATGCATTGAGTTGCTGCCATGTGATTGGCTGATTAGAAATTTGCGTTAATGAGCAGTTGGACAGGTGTGCCTAATGAAGTGGCTGGTGAGCGTAAATGTACGCATTTCTGTTTTTAAGGGAAATATCCACAATATTAAATGTGGTAATAAAGAGCTGGTCAATGTTTTAAACTTCATCCATATGATCCATATATCCATATGATTAAATTATCTTTTAGATTTTTTAAACTAACGAACAACTTGAAACTAGATTGAGGACTCGACAGATCAAATAATCATATGCTGATTAGCTCAGACTTAATGTGAAATTTGAAATGTTTTTTAACCTAAAAATGAAAATTTCCTCACCAATTACTCGCAATCAACTGATTCTAAACAGTCTTCTGCTGAACACAAAACAAGATATTCTGAAGAATGTTGGGGGGGGGGGGGGGGGAGCTTTTGAATTTAAGGAACAAGACATACTAAAAAGGTCAATGGCTGTTTTTATTCTCAACATTCTTCAGTATATCTTCCTTTTTGTACAACAGAAGAAAGAAACTCAAACAGGTTTGGAAGAAGTGGAGAATGTGTAATGGCAACATTTACATTTTTGGTTGAACCATCCCTTTATTGTGTGTTCAACAAACAAATCAAGTGTCTGAGAAGCAATTAATCAATCTTTAATGTTTCTTATTTTACGGGTGTATCACCAAATACTATAGAACACACAAGATATGTCACTCTCATCTTTTTGAATGGAGAAAAGTGTAACGGTCAATATGGCAAATATAGCCCACCTTCTAGCACAAGAGCCAATCATCGATCACTATAGACTGACAATATTCTGGGGGAGGAGCTTGGATCGTGATTTTATCCAACTTTTGTGTGAGTCGAACATTTAGAAACGAAACTTATGAGTCAATTGTTGATTTATTGGCGAATTCCAAAATGAAATTCAATCATATGTTTGATAGGCAGTTGTAGAGAATTTGATGTTACCCCATTTAGACAGAATGCCTGAGCATACTGCCCAAGAGGCATTTCAACACAAGTCCTTCATGTTGTCCCAACACAAACCATTTAAGTTAACTTAATCATTTTTACAAACTTAAGTGGATTGACTAAAAAAACAATTAATTTAAATTTAGAAACCATCTTACCCGTCTGTGCAAGACAACAGTATTCATGCCAACGTAAGTCCTTTCCACGTCTCCAAAGCGGTCCAGAATGGTGTTGCGCTCCATTATGGGCTCATCATTTGGACACGCGCTGTTCTCTGAAGAATCGGAGCCTAAGCCGGACTCTTTAGTGGACTCCCGTAGCTCCTCTTCATTGGTGGGAAGACGGACCCATAATGTTCTGAAACTTCCTGGAGTAATCGTCCATACCATCGCATTTCTAGGAATCCATTCCTTCATTTCTGTTTGCACGTATTCCTTCTGTGGTATTTCCAGATTTTCATCTTCTGCGAGATCGTCTGATTCGTCACTGTTCATATAGTTTATCTGGCTTTCGTCATCAGAGCTGGAGTTGAAAAACATCTCTTCTTTAACTGTTTTCAGCAATTTTTGTCGTTTATTTCTTGGATAGCTTGTTGTTATGCTTGATAGTGGTCTTTTTAGGGGTTTTTTCTGAATGTATAAAAGACAGAGTGTGTAAGATTAAATTATTATATGTTATTTTCTTAAAATTGTACTAAAGAATGTACTTACAGATCGTGTCATTAATTTCCACTTGTGAAGGCATTGAGCGTCAACTCGATTTGGGATCTCAGAGGCAATCTTGGCCCATTTGCCTGGAAAAGGATGACACAAAATGGACAAAGACAATCTAAAACAATGATCTCAAACTCAATTCCTGCAGGGCCACAGCCTGCTTAATAGTCTCTAGTAGTCTTGATCACCTTAATTAGTTGGATCAGCTGTGTTTGATTGGGGTTGGAACAAAACTGTGCAGAGCTGTGGCCCTCCAGGAATCCAGTTTGAGACCTATGCACTAGAGCAGGGGTCACCAACATGGTGCCCGTGGGCACCAGGTAGCCCGCCAGGTTCACATGAGTTGCCCGCAGGTCTCTTCTAATAATAGCTCACCATAGCACCACATATGAGTAAGCTGCATCTAATATTTTTGTAGGTATTCTTTTTAAATCACACTTGCATTGATGTAAATTTGAAAATCACTTTAAGTTATATATTAAAAACTTTAAAAACAATTTCAGACAAATGAAATGTTGCATATTGATATTTATCTAACTTGTTAAATAATTGTTGACAACTACTGTGAGAAATCATTAACATGATCAATGTCTTCACATAGATGAATATTATTAATAATTATTAATCATAACATATAATTAAAAATAAATTAAGAAAAATGTGTTATTTAATAAATGGTAGTCCTTCACACTAATCGGTACCCAAGAAGTAGCTCTCAGTTTCCAAAAGGTTGGTGACCCCTGCACTAGAGTCATTAGGATCGGAGATTTTGCTGCGTTTCAGTCACACAGGATATATATTTTTGGAAATAGGTGTAAATTAATTGTTACATCAGAGGTTTTGAGTCTTTTTAAAATGCAAGTGTTTTTTAGGCTAGATAAGCAATATTTTAAACATCTGCTTCTCTACTATAATCTGGTATTGCAATTTATTGTATGAATTACCTTGAAACATTACCTAGCCCAAAGTGAATCTGAAAGCTGAATAACTATGTAAAATGTATACACAGTCTACAATTTGTCTCAAAATGTTATCCATATAATTTAAAACCTGATTGGGCTAAATACTGCATACATATAATATAATATAATATAATATAATATAATATAATATAATATAATATAATATAATATAATATAATATAAAATAATATACATTACATTTTTTTATAATAATGTGTGTGTTATATACTGTAGCTTAAACTATAGATTGGTAAGTTAATTATTCATTTTAATTATTATCTGAACATTAGATTCCATTAATGGATTAACTGAAACATTTACATGTTCTGTGCAAATGAAAACATTAACACAACACAACTACATAATTAAAGTAGATAATAAAGTGTCTCTGTCTGCCAATTTGATGCTTGCTCCTACATAAAGAATATGATGAACATAACTTTTTAATAAGCAGGAGAAAATTGTATTTAAATGTTTTATTGAGTATGTTACATGGACACCAATACTCCAATAATTTTAAAACGATTAGGACAATAATCTGATTAAGAGTCTACCATGTAAACAGACATTTTTGATGACCTTAATCCGACTAAAGTCATAATAGAACTAAACAGCAATTGAATCAGGTCATTTGGAGCATGCCGATTTTAGTGGCATTATTGAAGTGCAGTACTGACATGTAAACAACAATCAAACTATTACCGTCCTGTAGGATTTTCGCCGCATTTTACGACAGGATATTCCATACACCCATGGCTGTTTGACACTATTCTCTGCATCTACCAAATCATCAAAGTACCACAGTAACACACAATTTAAATTTCAGAGTTGTTGTTTTTTTTTTTTATTCGGCGTGCGGTATCAAATTCCATTAAAACAACCCTCTCCCCCTAGAACTTACCTAATACATAGATTCAGTACCTAAGTTTACCATGGGGGCATGAATGAAATGACAGAGCCAAACTGCAGTTAATGTTGAAAAATAAAAAAAATGAAACACCTAAAACTGCCTTAAACTGTGGAGGAAATGTAGATAGCGTCGTGACACAATGACATAATAAAATTATGTGCTATAACATGTAAAGTGGGATCATGAAAAGACAATTCAAAAAGCAGCTCATGTAAACAGTTGTCTTATTCAGATTAAGGCAAATCATTTGATTACTGATGTCCATGTAAAAGCAGTCAATGCTAAATTTAGACTTTAAATGTTTTACATTTTTAGAATATTGTAAGAATGGGAACTGAAGTGTCATGTTATCACGACTTTACCATATCCAAGAAAAAATTTCTGTTGTTGTTGTTGTTGAAAACAGTTGTGTGGCTTGGTGTTTTTGTTTAAACTGCAATACATTTTTTGTCAAAATATTTTACAGCATAAAAGTTTTTAGATGTTTCGTCAATGTAAAGTAACCCTTTTAATATTTTTTATTCATTCATTCATTTTCTTGTCGGCTTAGTCCCTTTATTAATCCGGGGTCGCCACAGCGGAATGAACCGCCAACTTATCCAGCAAGTTTTTACACAGCGGGTGCCCTTCCAGCTGCAACCCATCTCTGGGAAACATCCACACACATATTCAAACACACTCATACACTAAGGACAATTTTAGCCTACCCAATTCACCTGTACCGCATGTCTTTGGACTATGGGGGAAACCAGAGCACCCGGAGTAAACCCACGCAAAGGCAGGGAGAACATGCAAACTCCACACAGAAACGCCAACTGAGCCGAGGTTCAACCCAGCGACCTTCTTGCTGTGTAGCGACAGCACTATCTACTGCGCCACTGCCTCGCCCCTTTTAATACTTATTTAAATAAATTTATTGACCTCAAAGATTTGAACATTAGTTATATCCACTTGTTAAAGGCTGATTTATACTTCTGCGTCAAGCGCACGCGTATGCTACAGCACGGTCAAAGAATGGATGCTTAGCCCTCACCGTGGCCATCGGCGTCACTGACGTGCACCTATCAAAAAATATAACTAAACGTCGCAACTATGCATAGCGCAAGCTCTGTGATTGGTTGGAGTGTGGTGGGGACCCACGTGCAGCGCGTGTTTACAAGTGTGGAGTCCCATGAAGGAGCTCCGGATGGATAGTTTTGTTTTGTGTTTACCACATAGAGCGAGTGTTTACAAGTGTGGAGTCCTTTGAAGGAGCTCCGGATGAAAAGTTTTGTTTTGCGTTTACCTTATGGTTTAAGTGGTTGCACGTCCGCCGGTTCCTTCCTCAAAATGAGCGAGTTTGAACCACTTGTACATTAAGGAAGCGTTCAGAAAAAACAAAACATCATAGAAGAAACTCGACACAGAGGAACATAAACACCTCACTGTCAACTAGCTTTTTAGGAAATGTTATTGCAGAGCAACAGAAACAGCGTGCAGAAGTCTGAATGCACAGCTGTTGCATGCTCCGTGGGTCATGCTGATCACTTGACGCAGAAGTAAAAACCAGGCTTAGGTGTGACGTCACGTGAAGCAGCTTCTGGGCCCAAGCGCTCTATCAAACTGTATAGGGAAGCTCATCAAATGGTATTATTAAAAGTTTATAAAGCGATGTAACACTTTCGAAATCATGATCATAATATATGTATCCATACTGATGGCCAGAAAGTGATTTATTTTTTATATATTGTTAATATATTGGTGCCTGTGATGCAGCAAGTCCAGAGACTGTTGTTAACACCATGATTTTATATAAAATTCTCTTTAATGTGTGATAGGAGTAAAAAATGGTCATAAATAAATATTTTCTTATTCAAATGAGTAGTGACTTCGAAAGCAGTATTTCATACGTCACAACCTAACAAGTGGATACTGTATTTATTATGACTTGACTTACCGACACCATATTTTGCAACTTTTTCTTTTAATAATTCCATCTCTGCATAGCTCCATGTTCCCTTTTTCACAGTCTCCCGAAGGCAATCCAAATACCTAAGATACAAATCTTAAATGAATACATGCTTGAATAACCAAAATCAACCAGCAAGATCGACTAAGGGGTTGTGATGATTTTAGGGTCTGGAACATGAGTTTGACTTCTGTCTGAAATTTGTTTCACCTGTCTCGACAAGCACTGTCGGTCCTGCCTGGCACTTCCGTTCTAATCCTCCCCCATTCTCTGGTCCCATACTTTGCCACAGCGTTCCGCAACAACTGAAATTAGAGCCAACAGTCAAATTAGTAAATATGTGGATGTGTGATTCCAGACGTTTTTTCTGTAACTGCAGCAGATATCAAAACTGAAACGTTGGGTCATCACTAGGTCCACACAGAATCTGCAAATTTCCGCAGATTTTCAGCCCATCATTGAGTCTATTTATTTACTTGTGTAAATGTGCGTAAATTGATATTTATTCATTTTTTATTAATTTCGTAAATAATATTGACTAATATAAAAGAGTTCATTTGATTTATTTACAATAAAGTTTGTAAAGTTATATTTTTGTCTTTTAGTAGTTATATTATATGACAGACTTGCTTTGTTTACCAAATAAATGGACCTAGATGGATTTGCCTTGTAAACATTAAATAAAAGTTAAAAAAAGCAATTCTTTTTAATTTCATATATTAAGTTTTTAGTTATGATACTCCTAAAATAGTTACAGCAAAAATCCACAGATTTGTTTTTTTTTTTTACAAAATTATCTGCAAACATGTCCACATATTCTGTCTGGCCCTAGTGGTCACTGAAAATATAATGCAAAAGCAATTTATTCATAATGAGTTTCTTATTTATTATAATATAGAAACCAAAATTAATATAATATCCAAAATTAATTCTGCTCCATACCTGGTCCTCCTCTTTGGACCAAGGGCCTTTCTTTAATGAGGGATCCAGGACAGATGTCCAGCGATATGCCAACTGAGATCCATCACGACCCACCATAAAATGTGACACTACGGAGAACATAAACACAAATATATATAGCCACAATGATACACACTTGTTATCGAATTTAAGTAAAGCTATTGGCAAATTAAGCTGCAAGATTAATCATAAAAAGATTGGGATCTCAACCCCCACTCAACAAACTATAAATAATGGTGATTTGCATATGTTTATTAATCCTTCGAATCGCTGCATTTATATGTTTGAAAAATGCAAAAATCAAGGAAGAGATTCAGTCTTTAGTGTTTTGAGTTAGTTATAAAGTTACAAACAGTCAAATAACACAAATATACTTGGATAACAGTTTATAGTTTAGACATAACCACTGATATTTATGGTAAAGATTAAAATCACAGCCATATGCATTTAATGACGCTCAAAAATGAAAGTTGTAGGCAGCAATTACATTATTTTACCAAAAGGTGGCGACAACCAGCCATCAAAAACAGGCCATTAAATAATTCTTTAAAAAGCATCCATCAAGCAATGAAACTAAGTTTTTGAGTGAATGACTGAATCATTTATTGAAAAGGAGACTAAAAATAAATATGAGTTGTACCAATTATATGTTTTTTATAATGATTATAATAATTTCTACATTTAGTGTTATCAGCAACAGTAGTAGTAACAGTGAATTTTTCACAGTATATACAGAATAATTTACAATTTATTTTTTAATTAGCTGATTTTTTCTTCATTTTATTTTTAATAAAATTACAGGTTCTATGCTCTCTTTGTTAAAACCAAAAGTGTCTTGCAGTGCTTATTTGTCATAAATGGCAAGCAAATGACATTTGTCTCCTTCCCTTTTTAGCTGATCCGAAAAAATCTGATCCGTGACTAAAAAACCATGATGTGAACCGAACCGTAAGATTTGTGATCTGTTACACCACTGATTGCAGATTTTCAAAAAGGTGGTATATTGGCTAGATATTGTCCATTCATAAGCCATACATCAATTAAAGCTTTTAGACGGTTAATAAATTTGAGTTTCTTAAAATTTACACTTATGACTAGCTTTGTGATCCAGGGTCAAAAATGAAACAAGAAATAAACTATAAACACACACTTTAGAAACAAAATATGCCACATTCAGTACAAGATCCAGTTCACTCACTCTGTATGTAAGGAATGAAGTTCCCGATCCTCATTTTTTCAACAAGTTCTCTGAGGAGATCGTCTTCCTCTTCTGTCCAATGAGTCCTTCTGAATGTCTTTGAAATGTAGCGCTGGTAGGTCTGGAAGCACATGAAAGCTGTTCTGTTGGTCTGGAAAGCAAACAAAGAGATCATGAGATTGAGTTGTTAAGCATAAAAAGTGCAATATTTGCATTGTTTTTTTAAAAAGTGCATTGATGTCTCCATCCCTACCCCAAGAGCCTCTGCGATTTTATCCCAATGGCACATCTTGAACTCTTCTGCGACTGCTTGTAGTTTATAAATCTCGTCTTGCTTCCACACCGATTTGTTAATGGACGGGTGCAAAAAGTTCTGCCAGAACCTCTTCAAATCATCGGCCTGACGCAAACCTTCAAACTATATGAACACAAACAAGACTTTTTATGATTCTAAAATGAGAAACTGCAGAAAGTACAGGACTTCATCTGCTAGGTATCAATAAAAATGCTACATAACTTACATCGATATTTGATATTTTATCCCAGTCATGATCGTCTTGCAGATCACCCAACAGTTGATCGTCTTTCAGGGTTCTAAGATGATATTAAGTTTGATTTTATTGGACACATAGTGCACTAATGTTTCAAAGTCTGGAGTCACAAGGTTTTTTTCATTTGTGTTTGAAAAAAAATCTCTAAAGCAGGGGTGCCCAAACTTTTTTGTTTGAAAGGCCAAAAAACTTGATTGAGGGTGGTGGGCTGAAGCAACTATACCAAATTGTATGAAATTAAAATTGTAATGGTAACTTATTAATTTAATAATATTAAAAAAAATACATCGAAAAAAATACTTTAATCAAATCAATAATTATATATAAATTTTATATTTTATAATGTACTTCTTACAATAAAAACCCTAAACAATCTCATTTATAACACAATGAATAAATGAATATACACACAGTGTTATAGTTAGGTCCATAAATATTTGGACATAAACACAGTTCTAACAATTTAGCCCTATACACCAACACAATTGATTTGAAATGAAACAAACAAGATGTGCTTTAACTGCAGACTGTCAGCTTTAATTTGAGGGCATTTACACCAAATGAGGTGAACGCGAATTACAAGTTTGCAAATGTGTCTCCCACTTGTTAAGGGTCCAAAAGTAATTGGACAATTGGCTTCTAAGCTGTTCCATGGCCAGATGTGTGTTATTGTTTTATCATCCCAATTACAATGAGCAGATAAAAGGTCCAGTGTTCATTTCAATTGTGCTATTTGCATTTGGAATCTGTTACTGTCAAGTCCCAAGATGTCGCAATCAGTCAAGCAAGCCATCATTAGGCTGAAAAAACAAAACAAACCCATCAGAAAGATTGCAAAAAAATTTGTCGTGGCAAAGTCAACAAGAGAAGATTACACTAGGATAAATACAGAGGGTTCATTACAAGATGTAAACCAACGGTGAACCTTAAGAACAGGAAGGTGGGATTAGAATTTTAAAAGCCTTTACAGTGCTGGAAGAACATCCTATGGACAGATGAGATCAAGATCAACTTGTTCCAGAGTATGGAGAGGGAAAGGAACTGCTCATGATCCTAAAGCTGGACTTATACTTTCTCCTGGTGCCGCATTGCGCACATCTGCTGACTGTGCGCACACCTCGCAAAATGGAAGAGGCTTTTATACTTGCCACAATTGACATTACAATACGCGTCAAAGCCTGAAACTGAAAGCGAGACGTGACTTTTAAGGGACTGTTTCATATGGATTTATTAATCATTTTTACTGTTTAGTGAACGCAAACTGCCGTAGTTTATTAAATACACAAACCCCTCACTGCACGACAGCTGCGCGCACCTTCAGCAAACCTCTGAATTC